TATAGTAATTTATATATAGAACCGCGTCACGTTTCACTATGATCATTCTTCAGTTGACTGGAGAATTGTCAATTAAACTAAATAACTTATGAATTAGACTATTAAGAAATAATAAAGTTTCATTTATAAGTTTATTTTGTTTAACTATCTAATTTTAATTATGAATTAGTTTAAGATTTTGTACTTATTTATATATTAAATAAATTGCTTTATATAGGATCTTAATTTAGAAGAAAATAGTGAATCTGATAATCATGCTGATATTAAATTTCACGAAGATAATTATTAATCAACTTTGTTAAATTTACACTCAATGATGAAATACTTAGATCCAGTTAGTATTCATGAAGTTTGGAGCATATCGACTATTGAAAGAAATAAACCACATTTTATAATACTATATAGGAATGCTAATCATTTATGTACATGCATGTGGCTTATAACAAGAGGATTAGTTTGCCGACACTTTTTTGCAGTTATGCTTAATACTGATAGCGCAATGTTTCATATTGGTTTAATCCCATCTCGATGGTATAATGATATATTATCTACTCCACAAGAAGAGGTTGCAATTACAATATGTAGTAGTAGAGAAGCTTCCAGGAATGAAATAGTATATGAGCATTGAGTAGTAACTAATTTTGATATACTAAATGAAATTCGACATACACAACCATTGTTAGAGACTGTTAGACAAAATTTGTCATATAAAACAAAGTATAATCAAGGATTTGGGTATGCTAAAAAAGCCATCAATTTGGCGCTTCAATTAGGTGAAGAGGATGAATTAAATGAACTTTTACTAGATTGGATCAATAAAAAAGAGAGAAAGATTCGTGATAGTAGATTGGAAGATGAAACATTAAATATTAGCAACCCTTATCAAATACGTACAAAAGGTGCTCCAAAAAAGCGATTAAAGAGTGTATTAGAAATTATTTCTAATACTAATAATAAAAATCAATGCAATAACAATTCGGATAAAGATGTTGTTAATCAGGGAAGATATATTTGTAGCACTTGCAAAAATATTGGACATAATGCTCGTACTTGTGAATTAAAAAAAAAGTAATAGTTAATTAAGGTATTTATATTATTAATATAATATGGAATTTTTGTCTTAAAAACGATCTTATAGAATATAATAATTACTATGTTCTATAAGGTTATTTTTAAGCAGAAAGACCTTATATTAGCTTTTATATATATCAACTACTAAACTATTGATTTATGTTTATTTTAGTTTGCAACTTATTCTTGTGGGTTCATTTATAATGCTGTTTTAAGCTGTTTAGTTAGTATATATACATTATAATTTATGTTTAGCAATTTAAGCAAAAATTGTGATTAGTACAATTAACTATTATATAGTATTAGTTATTTAGTCTAATTTTAATTCTTAATTCAAGTTTACAAAGATATATTTGTACTGTATAAGTTTCTTGTTTATTGTTAATTCAGTTATTATATGATTAATTTCGAATAAAATGCTTAAACTAGTAAGATTATATGGTGATAATCACCACCGGTAATAATTATAACTGGTGATAATCACCACCGGTGATAATTACCACTGGTGATAATCACCACTGGTGAGCTTTAGCAATATTCAAAATCTTAAAAAAAAGTAATATTTAGATAAATAATAATATCTTTATAAAAACTAACAAATGATATAATAAGATAAATTAACAATTATTTAAATTTCATAATAATATTTATATAAATTAAAGATTTAGATATTAAAATGATATATAATAATTAAAATAATTGTTATATAGTATAATTTTATTAATTAAACAATAATGATTTACTGATTTAATTAATTAATTTTATAAAACTTAAACCCAAACTGATATTTTGATAAGTACTTTAATTTTCTTATTTTACTACTTGATATTTACTGTTTATTTTTTATATTCAGCAGTCTTGCCTTATACTTTATTGAAAGTATTAGAAGATTAATATTAACAGAAAATATTATTTTTTATACTATAATCCTATGAAAAAGACTTACTTAACACTAAGGCTTAGATGTAATCTACTTAGCAGCATTATGCTTCATATTGAATCCTTAACTTTCTAAAAATTTGATCCTAATGATCATTAACTAGAGCAGCTGCAAGCTTCATTAAGAAGCTCAACAAAAGAAAAAAATAGATAAAAAAAATATAGAAGTATAGAAGATAATGATAAAAGATACAAATAAGAAAATAAAGGAGAAGAAGATAACAGAACTGTTATAGAACAGTTTTATTTTATTAGTTTATTATTTTATCTTAGTATTATTTTATTATTTCGATATTTATATTTT